AATGATAAAAAAAAAAAAAAATTATGTGAACTATTGTTATTCTATTAATCAATAGTTGTTAGTGCTCGAATTGTTTAATTTGGATATCACGAATAAATTCGAGAATTTTTCTCCAGTAAAATAAATCAAAATATGCGAATAACATATATGTATATATATATATATATATATATATATATATATATATATATGTATATAAAATATGAAAATATATGATACACGAATATATTCCAAAATATAACAATATACGTGCAACAAAAAAATATATATGCATGCATGATATGTGCATTGTAATAGGTATATCGAAATGTATGCAATGGCAATAACTATTTTATATTGTTTACTTATTATTAATTGAAATTTAAATTACAATTTAAACTACAAGCATCATGTATTTTCCTATGTTAGACGTGGATGATAAAAGAGATAACGTTTATCGATTGAGATTTATTTATATACGGAAAAATGATCGTTCGATATCGCGCGACGTAATCAAAAGAATTTTTCAATTTATCTCCGATGAAAGGATCTTTAATTTTCACGAATTTCACAAAAGTATGATCTTTTGAAATTGTTCTTTTCTTTTTTTTTTCTTCAATTATTTTTAACACGTTTTCATATACGCAACTTTTTTCTTCTTTTCTTTCCTTTTCTTTTTTTTCGAAAAATTAAACTTCGGAATAATTATCTCTATTCAGGATTCTCGGGGTATAGTTCTCAAATATTGTCGAATCGTTTAATAATCGTATCGAATCAGTCAATGGCGTCCATCCAAACTTTTCGTATTGTTCGGTAACATCTTAAAAATAAAAATTTGCAAATACATATGTTTCGTACAATTTCTTAACCACGGCTTAACACATATTGCGTTAATTCTTAAAATGAAAGAATAATAATACGTCAAACTTATTTAATTGTCGTACTATATATCGATGGTACAATTCGCAAATACAAATTATATTAAAATGTATGAATATCGTAAAACCATTACACGATAATTATAGGATCAAGAATGTTGGAGTTGCATTGTTGTTTTTGTTTTGTTTTTTGAGTTAATACTTTCTATCACATTCAATATTCGTCTGTGTCATAAAAGGTTAACAGTTTCAACTAATTTATTGAAATTTCAATTTCGCACGCAATAAATTGCGTCGAAGCAGACTTAAGTAAACAATATCGAATTTTAAAAACACATTATGAGACAAACATAAATGATATATGGAATTTACTTTTGGATGTGTACTTGAAAAAGAAAACTATATATATATATATATATATGTGTGTGTGTGTGTGTGTGTGTGTGTATGCAAGATATAATAATCATATGGAAAAAATGCGAAATAAATGTTACATATTGTTTTTGATACCATCCAAATAACTGAACAAATTTTTTTATCCAAGTTCAACGTTATTATCAATCTCCGATAAAAACAAAAAAAAAACAAAAAAAAGAAAGAAAAAGTATGAATTTGCATGAACACTCGCAAGTGTCTTTTAATCGTGTCATTATTAAATATTATATTTTTATTGTGAAAATTTATGATCGTGTTATTGATGATAATTTGTAGAATTTATGTTTTATCATGGAAATCTTTGATTTGGAATGATAAGAACTTATTTTGAAATTATTATAGACTTATATAAGAATTTTCAAGACTTCAAATATTAATCGATTGATTTAATTAACGCTTTCAATTATAATAATTATTGTACGAAACTATAATCATTGCTAATGATAATAATGTCTTTTTTAATTAATCGATTAGAGAATTATTTAAATATTATATGAATTACGAAAGAAATTGAATTTTAATATAGTTAAACATTGAGAAAATATTTTTTCGTTAATGTTAATAATTTATTTTATATATTAATATATTTTAATTATATAATAATAAATGTTATAATATTAAATACTATTGTATATTATATATACATTCATTTTATTAAAATAATAATTATATTCATAGATTAAATATTGATTGTTTATTTAAATTATATATTCATAGATATATTAAAAAGAATATTATATTTATATAATATACAATTATAATTTATTTAATATACATATTATTTATTAGAATAATAATTATATCTATATATCTAATATATATTTGGATATTCAATTATATATTAATATATTCATAACAATAACATATATATAAATATATATACATATATATTATTATGATATATTTATCAATAATATTTTAATTAATAGAAATAATCAACTTATAAAAATTTATTTATATATTATTAAATAAATAATCCATTAAGAATTTAATTTATCATATGCATATATTATATATATATTTCTTTTTTAATTAATCGAAATCGTATCATTTTTATTATAAATTCAATCGAAGAAATCAAAAAAAAATTTCTATAATTTTTCATAACTAGTAATAAACATATATTATGCTGGAAACTATGAAACTGGCGTTTTTGTTTAGTTATTTATTTTCACTCAACACCCGTTTCATAGTTTCCTACCTAATAT